CCTCAATTCTCCTCCACCCAGCTGCACATCAAACACCAACATCTTAACAAAACCTTGGGTTAACAAATCTCTGTTTTTCTATACAGCCTATGGGTCCCTTTCAAGCCAGATGAAGGGGAAAAAAGACTCCAGGCTCATCTTTACCAGCCCCTCAAACCAGTCCTGAGGAGGAATTGTCACAAGCTTAGGAGCATGCACCCTCAAGGCCTTACTCCCCATTTGCCACCAGTAAGACACACACCTGTGTGGGTGCTGTATCTAGAGGGTCACATTCTGGAGAGCAGAGCACTGACATGCACTGGTAACTAGAGATAGAAGAGGTCCCTGACACCAGGATGACTGGTGAGAAGATCCCCTGTTGAGACCAGTCCAGAGCCTCTGAACTGAACCATAAATGAGCTGACGGTGAAATAGAGAGAAACAGGGGAATGTTTGGCAGAGGCTGGCTGAATCTGATGTTGTGGCTCTGGTCTGCCTCCATGGACCAGGTAGTGGCCACTGTGCAGAGCCAGGAAGAGGGAGTGAGGGAATCTTGACTTCCTGCCAGGTGCCCTATCCCTTTTGAGTGGTGAAGAAGGTACCATTGCTTTCAGACAGGGGGGAGGAGGGGCAGACAGGCTCGAGGAATGGTCATCTCTGAATGTAGAATCCCTACAGCGCAGATAGAGGCCATTTGGCCCATCAAGTCTGCACCAATCCGCCAAAGAGCATCCCACCCAGACCCGTCCTATTCCCATAACCCCACATTTAGGATGGCCAATCCACCCAGCCTGTACATCTTTGGACTGTGGGAGGAAACCAAAGCAACCAGCAGAAACCCACAAAGACATGGAAAGAATCTGTGAGCTCCACACAGATGGTCATCCAAGGCTGGAATTGAACCTGTGTCCCTGGTGCTGTGAGGCAGCAGTGCTAACCACTATGCCACCGTGCTGCCCAGGAGATACTCCAGAGGTGCGCTGATGTACCACCTCCCCAGGGACCCATGCACCTCAATAATGTCAGGCTGTGGAAGTGGCCTGGCTTGCAGGACCCTGGGCAACCAGAGATATCCACTAAAGTCATTTGAGGCATTCAGCAGGTATTCAAGCTCAGCTGCAGCTGTCAAGACAGCACAAAGACAAAGTAAGAGAAGAAAGATTAAACTACATTGAAGTTACATTAGCTGCACAGGTGTTGACCTTCTTTACAACCTGACACTCGACACGAATATAGCACTTTGTTGATACCAGGACTATCATGCAATCTGTTAAGGCTTCAGACTGTTTGTTTATATTTTTCTGGAGATTATCTTGTGGGACGCTGATTAATGTATGTGTTTGCATGTCATTCTCTGCTGCCCTCGGAGAGTAGCGCAAACACTGGAAAGCAGGAAGTTTAGCTATGTTTTGGTTTTGTGTGTTGATCAGCATAGTGTGCCCTTCTACATCTCTGTAACAGATGGAATGCCCGTTGTAGACTGAGGTTTGTGTCATATAACTGCACACTCCTGTAATCCTGCATAACTCTACTCTCAGTGCCCTGACAAGGGAGCTGAACTTATTAGTACTAAGAGAACAAATTAATTTGCAATTATTGGCAAATGAAGTACTGTGACATTTTGAAGATATCAAGCAAGTATTCCCTTGAGGGCAAGAAGGGCTCTACACCATAATCACTTGTAGTTCCAATTGACTTATGT